TCAGTGGAAGCAATTAAACAATGCCTCCTTAAATTAGCCATTGATTTTTAGCAGGAGTGACACTTCACACGAGGAAATGATAACTTTAAGGCTAGCTACCTTTTTCATTACTGCCAGGCGTCCATTCACCTCCATGAAGAAGTGCTCGCTCAAATTAGCCATTGATTTTTTTCCACAGGTGTCACTTTGGTTAAATGTTGTTAGCTCGCTCGCTCTCGGCCGACCAGGAAGGAGCGCTAATCACAACTAGCCTCGGTCCTCTAGTCTGTCAATGTAAATGCGTAGTTTTAAAATGGAAAAAAAATGACAGTATTTTTAAATTGGTATATAGAAAATTGAAATCAAATTCAAGAGTGAGTGTGTACATTTTTCCCACATGTATTTGAACAAAACACGTACAGATATATTGTATAAGCAGCTCTTACTGTCTGCATGTACCGTATTTTTCGGACTATAAAGCGCACCGAAATTATAAAGCACAGTATCAATAATGTTGAATTCTCTCGTCTATTTTCATACATAAGGTGCATCGGATTATAAGGCGCATTAAGTGAAACGAACAGACGACACTTGAGACTGATCCCTTAACCCAGGAGTCCATGATCCATTGGCAGATTGTGGTGTAATTCACCCGGCATTGGCTCTCTGTCTTGGTGAATCAGGATTATGAATGTGAATGTGATTGGATCATTTATTTATTTATTTATTTATTTTATTTCCTACAAGGAGGACTCAAATATACACTGAGTAATAATTAATAATGTGTTTAATTCAGCTTTGCACACATTTGTTTACCTTTTGCAGAAACAAAACTTAAAACCACATGGCTCATTTGCATAAACTATAAGTGCTGAAAAAACAGCTCACTCCTTGCGCGCTAATGTGGTCAGCTTCTGTCGGACTTATGCCTCAAAGCTCCAGACTTCAGTAGCTGTAATACTCCAACAATCCATCAAGTGTCATGGCTTTGTAGTTTACCAAAGTCGTACTAAAACATTTTGACAGATTTTTGAGCGCCGTGTACCACATAAAATTGGTTAGAGTTCAGTAAGCCCAACCAGAATTATTGCATAAGGTGGACTGGATTATAAGGCGCACTGTTGATTTTTGAGAAAATGAAAGGATTTTAAGTGCACCTTATAGTAATACTACGGTAATTACTAAGCGCTTTATTGTCTTAGAATTAGGAAGTGCGCTGTCAGCATGCACCGTGAAATGTGTTTATAAGACAACACAACACAAGTTAATTGAGGAATAATAATGAAGTAGTTCTGTTTTTCACGTTTTGAAGGCACTAAATATCAGGTACAGTGCCTTTCATAATCATTCAACTAGGCATAGACGGTACAAAGACCTTAGCCACACAAGGAGGTTATATAATATAATGCAAAATGTACTTTTCAGAGCTCTTAAATATGTTAGTTGTTTCCAGTTTTCACTACCACTGGCGTTCAGCCACATTTTTACACCATTATAAAATGTGTCTAAATCGTAGTTCACTGTAAATTGTTGAATGTCACTGTTCTGTCAGGAGCTGTCAGAGTACACATCTACATGGAGCATTAATTAATTAATTTTTAAAACTAAGGGTATTAAGTAGCCAGTCTGGCGCCACATAGTGCCTCCACTCAATTTCATTTCTCTCCAGTGACTACGTCAGGAATCAGAATACACTAGACGGTTTGTAAGAACCCCAGAAGTTGTAGAGCACGCACCGGCCAATAAGTGAAGAGCTGTAAAGTCATGACGAAACTCGTTGCGCTTGTCTGGGTCCATTTTGTAGAACAACACAACAGTAAACAAAGCGGTCAAGATGGATGTAGATGAAGCCAGACATTCTGTGTTGGCAAAGCTTCACGAAATCGAGAATTTAAAGCTGGAACAAAAAGAATGTTTGGTGAATTTTATCAAGGGGAAAGATGTTATTGCTCTTCTTCCTACAGGATTTGGCGCATTACATACGTCACGACCAAATAGCAGAGATTGATTAAATAAAAAAAGTACCTGACTACCATTGAGCGAACAAATCCTAATGCTGCGAGGTCAGATGGTTTCCACGAAGTGAAACCGGCTGATGAATCAGTCTAGGTATTAATGGCACCTGTAGTAAACCTGCTTAGACACAGGGAGAGCATGCAAACTCCACAGTGCTCATTTTTGCAAACAAGTTTACTATGCTCTACCTTCAACCTGTTTAACATCCTCACACAGATTTGTCTTATGTATTTGAGCTAAATTTGCATTTCTCCAGTTCAGATATGTTGTACAAGCAGCTCTTGAAGTCAAATATGTCAGCTGTCTGAACCTAATGCTGTCTGCAGCTAATCAAAAACATTTTATTGTCTTTTACATTTGTTTTACATTGTCATGAAGCACTAACAGACTCATTGTGGTGAATAATAAAGACGCTCGGGGTGCATCTGTTTGTGCAAACTGTTTTAAATGAACTTGTTTTGATTTTCACATTTAAGACAGTAAAAATCAGATACAGCATCTTTAATGATAATTCATTCTTCCTCTGTTATTTTATGAACAGTTCCACAAGAACTCTGGTCTTACTGGTCAGTCTTTATTATTCAAAACTCCTTTATTACACAACTTTTGCTATTGCCAACCCCAGCCCAGACACAAGAGCCTCCCAAAGATCCACACATCCCATAATCTGTAATGATTCAGTTCAAGTGAAAAGGTCCAGCTCACGAGGTGTTCCTCAGAAGGAGACCACATCCATGCTCTTCTCATCTTCTCCTCATCTTCTCCCCGTCTTCTCTGGTGCTACAAAATACAGTCTGCAGCAGCAACAGAATGTGAACACTTTTGACATGGATATAAAACTCTCAACTGAAGTTAAATATTCTGTACATGATGATGTTACAGCAGGAACCAAACTGAAGGAGGGACTCAGGTCAGTGCTGTAGTGTGGATCTGTTTTCTCTCTCCCTCAGATCTTCTCATATTTAAACACTCCACAAGTGAACCCTTAGCTCTGTATTTTACTGAATCAACTTTTCAATGTTATAATGAGGTAGCCTCATCAAATCATACTGTGTTTGTTTCATCCACACGTGTGAAGGAAAAACTTGGTTTCACCTAGTGACATCATCAGGTCGTAAATAAAGAAGTAAAGAAGTGCTCCTCCATGTTTTTTTAAAGTCCATAACCTAAATATTTGGACCTTTAAGGCTGAACAAGAGTACTTCAGCAGCCAGAGGCAGGTGGGTTATATTTACTATACAATACCATTGTGCCTCCTTCATTTGCCTGTGATTATTTGAAGTTAAAGTACTGCAAACTGTCACATTGTTTTCTCTGTTATTCATTTATTTATTTATTTATTTTCATTCCCAACAAAACAAACTCATTTTGAATCAATTCTGTTACTTAAGAATTCTTTGGGCATCCACTGTGAATATTGGCCATTTAATCAACTGATTTTTCCAAAGCATTACAGTATAAAATGTTTCTGTGAAAAGTGCTTGGAAATGGATTCTGTAGTTTCAGACTGTTCTAATGAAACTCGTTATAATAAAATTATGGCCATTTGACTTGAGTGTACACTATCAGTTGTCTGTGAGTCCTAACAACAGATGACACATTGTGTTGACCTCAGATTGTCTGTGAGATCATGTCAACATGGTTGAAGCATCCTTCAGGAAATAGATGTGTCTGTGTTTTACTTCTCAGGAGCACAATGGTCTAAACAAAGACATTTACAGACACTGTATCACATTTCTGATGGACTGCAAAAATATTATGTGTGTTTTTACTGTATCTCCCGTCCCTTGTATCAGTCACACAGGTCTCCTCCTGCAGCTGATGCACACTGGAAAATACTGATATTCTTACTGCATTTCCAAAGTGTCCACATGTCCATATTTTAAATCAGAATTTTCCTGGGACTACAGAAGTGCGGGACAATTCCACTATTCCCTATAAAATAATGTGACCAGCCACGCAGTTTCTTGTTGTTCTATCCATAGAATGTCTGCAGACCAATCACAACCAGGGGCTGGAGTTTGTCCAGTATCACAAACTGAACCAAACGAAATAATGTTATAAATAATAATGTTTATACTGCACTTGATACGGTTTAGAATAATCTCATTTGCTCTGCATTTCACAGTCCATCCTTTAATCCCATGTAATCCGTACCAGACTGCTGTGTGTAGCAGTGGTTACCAAACTTTTTATAGTCAGGTACTCTGTACCACCTCTGGGACCACAAGGACGTGCACTGACTTTTTGAGGGGTGGGTGCTCTACCATGAAAAAGGGCACATTAAATTAAATAAATCTAATATAAGAGGTCTAGGACAAATCGAGAATTTGAATGTTTGTGAGGTGGAGGGTTCTGCCCCGGGACATTTTGAATAAAATAGATGCAATTTCCTGTAATCTGGTGTATTTTAGTTAAACAAATCTTTTTTTTTTTTTTTTTTTCTTAGCATTGTTTAGTACCTTTAATAGGTACATTTGTTGATTACAGAAATGCTTGGACCATCTCCCAATCCTGTGGGCGGTTCCCAGTGGAGTTGAGCTTTCAGACAAAAGTCCAACCTAAAACTTTAGTGGAGACTCTTGGCTTGAATGTGATGTTGCTTTTGGGAATCCAACAGAGGCTTTGGGCCGGGTGCCTGGGCACCAGCTGGCTCTCTCTGTGCACGTCCCTGGATCAGCCCACACATCGATGCCCTTGAAAAAAGTGTCTGTGGATGCTGCACACACCATTCTTTTATTAACATGAACCACGTTTCACAAATGATAAGAACAAAAATCTTCATCATCAAATAAATACAACATGGCATTTTTTGTCTTTTGAAAATTGTCTTTGCGTACTCTGCCCCTGGGTCGCTCGGAGACCAACGGGGTTGTCCGTACCACAGTTTGGGAACCACTGCTCAACTGAACCCAATGAGACAGGTGTAGAACTAGCCAGGCCAACTTTACATGAGCATGGACTGACAAAATGAAAGGTGAAGTTGGTTGTGCGTTTCCTGTGACGTCAGGAACAGGAAATCAGAGTCTATTATGTAAGAGTCCAGGTCTTATAGAGTCCTGCCTCAGCCGTCCCATGATACGCACATGTACACAGCCCCGCACAGACAGTCTATGTGCATGGGAGCGTGTCATGTGGGCGTGTCCTGGGGCGTGTCATGGTGGGCGTGTCCTGGGGGCGTGGCATCAGTAGACGTATCCCTCGCTGTAGGGGTGTGGGGGGCAATAGGGCCCGTCCTGCACGTACGCCAGGCTCTCGTCGAAGTGGGACAGGGGCACGGTGTCCTCTTCGTTGATCTGTCTCTCCGCGTCCGTCTTCAGCACTGGACGCTGATTGTCGGGGAACGCCATCGAGAACAGGGCCTCTGGGTCACACACGAACTTGTACACGTATCTCTCACCGGCCACCTACACACACAATACAGTACTTTTGTTTATACATATACTATAGGCCTATTAAATGACATACCATATTTTTCAGACTATAAGACGCACCAGATTTTTTTGCACCGAATTACAAGGAGCACTGTCGATTGTTGAGAAAATTAAAGAATTTTAAGTGTGCCTTACAGTATAGTCCGAAAAACAGGGTAGTTGATATTGAGGTGTATATAGTTAAAGGTGCACTCTGTAACCTTTCAGTTGGGAGTCCATCACCTGCTTGTTTATATGGAGATGTTATTGCTCTGCCTGGAATGTTCCATAGTATGACATTAACCAGCTGTACCTTACATTTATTCAATTATAGGTGTTGTTTTTTTTAGCTCAAAAATACCTATAGAAAAACAGGCATTCTGATGGAGCGTGGTCGCCTTTACATAGATCTGATCTGTTACTTGGTCTGGTTTGGTCTCATTGAAGACAGAAAGGTTTAATGCCATACTGTGAAACATTCCAGACAAACCCATAACATTTACATGGAGAAAAACATTTGACGGACCCTCCACCAGAAAAGTTACTACACAAAGCACCTTTAACTCAGTGATAACATTTTAAATAGTAATATTCATCTAAAACCCCTTGATCAAAGAAACAAGTTTGCAAAATTGTGCTTTAGAAAATTGGTTGATGAAAGAAAGAAAGATTATTTAAACATGCATGAATCACTGTAAATACAACTTAGTACATTTAGCATAATAAATCTTCTTTATCAGGAAAAGTGTCTTAGAAAGAAGAAAAAATACTGTCCTTTTGAACATTTTTTTTCAGTTTGATGATTCTTTTTCTTTCTTTTTTTTTTTCTTCAGTAATCACCAACCATTATAGTGCTGTGTATGTTTTGATTGACAAAGTGATAAAAGACGTCCACAGTGACATATTAATGGTGAGATCAATGATTATTGATCTGTACAAAGGTTATCCAATTAGCCACGTATTTTTGTGTTAGATAATCTATAACCGTTTTCCTCAATAGGTAAGACAATTTTCCTGATATTTAGAACTCATTTTCCAAAACACAATTATTTATTATCATTTATAAACGAAACCGCATTTTATACAGTCAAAATGTTCCACTCTATGGCATTAAACTTATCTATGAAGCTGACACCACAGGGTCAAGTTATAAGTTTATAATACTCCCTACAGCTCTGCAACAACTCACCGTTGTGTAACAGATAATACTCCCTACAACTGTACAACAAGTCACCCTTATGCAGCAGATAATACTCCCTACAACTGTACAACAACTCACCCTTATGTAACAGATAATACTCCCTACAACTGTACAACAACTTGCCCTTGTGTAACAGATAATACTCCCTACAACTGTACAACAACTCAGCCTTGTGCAACAAATACTTCATAAAACTGTACAACTCACCCTTATGCAACAGATAATACTCCCTACAACTGTACAAGAATTCACCCTTATGTAACAAATAATACTCCCTACAACTGTACAACAACTCAGCCTTATGTAACACCTTTTATCTTTGCACTGTTTTCCTTTAAATACTATATATTTTATTTTCACTTTTTACTTTATATAATTATGCCTTTTTTTGTCAGTCTCTGGCTATATTTGCTACTTATTTTGAATTGATTATTACCATTTATATTTTTTCTTCTCCCCAAAAACATGGGACATCATATTTGCTACTTATTTTGAATTGATTATTACCATTTATATTTTTTCTTCTCCCCAAAAACATGGGACATCATTTTGCAACCCAATGATTTTGGCAATTCTTGTTCACAGAATGTATAGAAACAAATCGGGATTTTATATTTAATGATCTATTTTTGTTCTGTTTTCAGGTTGAGCTGTTCATTCCCAAAGAGAAGTCATTTTGAGCTTTGGAATCTGCTCGCACACAGTCACTCAAGACTGTATAGCATGACTTCAATGCAAAAAAAAAAAAAAAAAAAAATTTAAGAGGAATTTATGTATGTATATGTATAAATGTATTATGTAATTATGTATAAATATGTGTTTGAGCATATTCCATGATGCACAGTGACTTCTCTTTGGGAGTGAACGGCTCAACTTGAAAACAGAACAAAAATAAAACCTTGATCAGTATAAAATTCTGATCTGTTTCTATACATTTTGTGAAAATTTGAGGTTATTTCAACAAGAATTGCCAAAATTATGGGCCTGCAAAATGATGTACAATTTTTTGGGACACTCTATATTGTGATGTTTGAGCTTCTGTGTCTGAGTCATTTCACTTTTGGATCAATAAAATTTGTCTAAAAACACATAGTGCACCTTTAGACCTTTGTGTTTTGTTATTCTTGTTCATGTTCTGTTTTATTTATAACTATTTAAAAAGTCTCCAGTGTATGATCTCATCCCGGCGGGCGTTGCCTTACCTTCTGCATGATGCCCTTCTCGTAGTAGTAGCGCAGGGAGCGGCTCAGCTTGTCGTAGTTCATGGCGGGTCTGTTCTTCTGGATGCCCCACCGCCTCGCCACCTTCAAACACCACACAGACTTTATTAAAGCAGGAGAAGCCGAGCGCGCTGTCCGAGCCCGTTCACGTCACATTAGTCTAATCAGAGGATCCAACATGGCCGCCCGATGTGTTCATTAGGCGCCAGGAGCCGGAGGAGCAGATGTTTGAGCACCTGTCCCGCGGACCACCCTCCGGCAGCAGCCCGAGCCCGCACGCCGCCGCCGCTTCACCGGGACGACAGAGAACTACAGCTCCTCTTACACCGCGCAACAATGTGGATGTGCTGGTTATTATTAAAGGTGAGTTGTGTTACTTTTCCGCTACCTGTTTATCTCCATGGAAATATTATTACTTTGTCTAGAATGTTCCACAGTAGACATTAAACCTCGTTATTTCAGGGGAGAAATCTATAGGCTACGTTACAGGTCAGATCTGTGGAGATGCAACCCTTTTCCAAAAGAGAATTTTCTATTTTTGAGCAACGGAAACACCTGTAATGAATAAATTATAGATAGATAGATAGATAGATAGATGGATGTGTTTAATGTCATAGATAGATAGATGTTTAATGTCATACCATGGAACATTTCAGGCAAAACAATAACATCAGAAAAGTTGTGCAGTGCATCTTTAAGGGTTAGCAATATGATAAAAACATACACTTTTTTTTTCTCTCATATTAAGCGATTTCTCTTTTTTTTATTCAATTTAATTTTGTTGTATTAAAACAAAATAAAAAAGGCTTTCAATATTCATTTCATGAGCATAAATGATGCAGATTAATCATCCCCGTTTAAAGGGACAGTCTCCAACTTTCTACAAATAGCAGGTCACCTCTGTGCTTCCATGGAAACGGAAAGTTAAAACCAAAACCATACTTCCAAGAAACATATTCCAAGGAGATAGATGCGTTTTATGCTAAACTGTGGATGATTATTAGCCAGGCTCCACTCAATTTCATTTCACTCCAGCGACTAGGTCAAGAATCACAATACACTAGACAGTTCGCAAAAACCCCGGAAGTGCGATTTTGGGCACCAGCCAATCACCGAAGAGCCATATATTCAGTGTCGTCAATGATTCTTGAGGTCAAGGATTTAAAGCCGGAACAAAGAGAATGTTTGGTGAATTTTATCAAGGGGAAAGACGTTATTGTCCTTCTTCCTAAGGGATTTGGGAAAAGCTTAATATACCAGTTAGCCCCGTTAACAGCACATTACATACGTCACGACCAAACAGCAGTGATTGGTTATATGATAAAAAGCACCCGCCTACCGACGAGGGAACGAATCCTAATGCTGTGAGGTCAGATGGTTTCTACCAAATGAAACCGGCTAATGAATCAGGCTAGATAATTATAGCCAAAGAAACAACATTTCCATGGAAATAAGCAGAAGAAGAAGAGAAGAGGCCCTCATCAAGGCCAAATAAAAGTCAGGTTTGTGGAGATGCAAGCCTGCGCACAGTCAAGATGTATGTTTTTCAAGATTTCCTGAATAATACAGGACCTTTAATTGTATTTTTTGTTAGTATAGAAAGAATGAATCTAAAATGATCATGATTATTACTTTTTAGTTCTTAAGATTATATTGTGACCTGAATAGATTTGTCACAATTACTAACATTTCAAATAGTAAGGAACAGACTCGATGATGATTCTCATACCACACTATGACAAAAGAATGTGATTTTCAACATTAAAACATATTCATATTCATTCTTGTTCTGACACAACTCAAGATCATCCTAAAACTATTCAAGAAAGGTTTATTTTGTCCTGTGAATGTGACTTTTTTAGTATTGATACCTGCTCAAATGAGTTTCTAGTTTCAATGTTAGTTTTAGTATCGGTAAGTATCTGATTTTCTATACGTTTGACAACCCTTGACCTGAATAATCCTGTTGACACTGCAGTCTCTCTGAGCTACACAGGGATCAGGTGTCCCATTCCACATGAATTTGCCTAAAAGCTCCTTTGTGTACACAGGTAATCCTCTCATTTGATAACTGCTGCTTTGAGCCAGCCAGCGTGAGAGTTCTGTTCTGAACATAATCCAAACTCAACCAAACTGTTTTTATTGTCGAAATGTGTGTTATTTTATGAAATTTATAGTACAACATTTAACAAACTTTTTTTTTTTTTATGTTTCTGCTCGTCCTTGTATACTGCATATCTTTGGCACAACTACAAGGAAAAGAGTTTTGCAGAGTTTGACAGAGGCCTATAACGACTAGGCATGTAACAATAATCGAAATATCATGATATCGTAATGTCAAAGTTCTCACAATAATATCGTGGGCCATCACGATATATCGAATCACAAGTCTCTTTGTTTAAATGAAGAGTTATGGCGCAGCAATAGCTAAAAATGACAGAGGGAACTACATAGACCATAATCCTTTGCTCCGTTTCAGTGCAGACTACAAGAAGAAATAACAGTTTTAAGCACTTAGTTTTTTGGATTAAATCTTGTCAGGGCATTTAAATAGGAAAAAGTCGCATATTAACAGTTTTAGCTGTTTAGTCTCCACAAAATATCACAATAAATATCTTATCGTGAGATGTATATCGTGAAAATATCGTAAGAGATTTGGATATTGTTACATCTCTAATCGTGAGCCTCCCCACCGTATCGTGAGCTTTTCCCACGATATCACAATAAATATCGTACTGTGAGGTTCATACTGTGACGATATCGCATTGTGAGACTTGGATATCGTTACAAATCTAATAACGACTCTTTGAGCATATTACTGAAAGTGCTGAGGTGAAATGTTTGTAAATTGTGGTGTGAGAGCCTGTGTCGTCACAATCAGATGTTTTATTTAATCATTTATGTGTAGAGCCATGAATCTGAGCAATCGAATCATGGAAGTTCTAGTGCGTCCTGTGAGGAGCTCTGTCAGATTTACCTCTAAGCTGTGGAGACACTGACTGTCTTGTCTGTAAACATTATTGTAACATGCACTGTATTTAAATGTTTTATTCTTACTATTTTCTTTTTTAATATTATGAACTAGATATTACGTGTTCTTAATAAAGATTGAACTGAACTGAATAAAGCATAATCAAAGACTTGATTCTCACACAAAATTGACTTGTCTTGTTAAAATGTTGTTGCCTCATTAAAAAAACGTATTGGAGTTGTGTTTTGTTTCATTCGCATGTTTGAGTAATCCTTTATTATTGGCACTGTTGGGCAAGTACCCTTAAAACTGTAATGTGTTATTTATGACTTGTTACTGTCATTTCAAAGTCATTCATTACATTATAATATTACTGTATTTAAAATGTAAAACATTACATGACTATTGCAGCACTTTAATTTACTCTCACCAAAAGAACTGTGAAGATGCTGAACTTTTGCGCCGTATATGGACTGAACCAGGACTAAACCAGGACTAAACCAGGACTGAACCAGGACTAAACCAGGACTGAACCAGGACTAAACCAGGACTGAACCAGGACTAAACCAGGACTAAACCAGGGCTGAACCAGGACTAAACCAGGGCTGAACCAGGACTAAACCAGGACTGAACCAAGGACTAAACCAGAACTAAACCAGGGCTGAACCAGGACTAAACCAAGGACTAAACCAGGACTGAACCAAGGACTAAACCAGGACTAAACCAGGACTAGACCAGGACCAGACCAGGACTAAACCAGGGCTGAACCAGGACTAAACCAGGACTGAACCAAGGACTAAACCAGGACTAAACCAGGGCTGAACCAGGACTAAACCAGGACTGAACCAAGGACTACTAAACCAGGACTAAACCAGGACTAAACCAGGACTAAACCAGGACTAAACCAGGACTAAACCAGCTCTAAACCAGCTCTAAATGGGCGCGTTTCCAGCATTTCACCGCTATTGATATCGCGGTGATTTTAGCAAATTTGTATGAAGAAAAACCCTCTACTTCAATCCAAAGCATTGTAACAGACCTCACTGACATTTGTACCGAGTAAAATATTTAAAAAAAAAACTTTCCCCTGTAATGCCAAACATTACTGCGTTACATCAAAAAGCAATGCATTACAGTAATTTATTACTTTTATAACGCATTACTCCCAACAGTGATTATTAGTCTCTCTACTTCTCCAAAGCTCAAAATGCTCTGTTCCACCTTGTGATGTCATGTAGTGGTACTTTCCAACTTAACAGCTCCTTTTGCCTTTAGTTCAGTAGAGATTGGCAATTCCAGGGCTGAAATTGTTCAAATTATTCTAGTGAAAATGTATGGAGTTTAAAAACATGCTGGAGCGCTTCCAGTTTTATCACATGACATCACCAGGTGGAGCAGAACATTTTTAAGAATTTGGAGATACAGACATCCTAAAAAATCTCGGTTACTCAAACATGGGAATGAAATAAATCACAACTCCAGGTCTGTTTTTGATGAGGAAACTGGCAAATGCTCAGAAGAGTCAATTTGGCGTAATATAGGACCTTTAACGCTGCATAAATAATTGTACACATTCTCTTCTAATTCATATTTCTGCCAGATGTCTTGTCAATATGGAATGATAACAAATCAATTATAATGTGACTCCTTTCCCATTACCCATAGCCCAAACTAGTGTAATTACTGTAATATTTGCACTGCAGCCACAGACGTACGACATAACATGGCAATTATCCAGATGAATCAAATATTCAGTGTGGGAGCTCTCGCAAATACAGCACAGAGAATTGAATCGCTCTCATTGTTTCGTAATGGCATCTTGAGGCTTGTAATACTAAAAATACTAGTGATAATGGTCCTGTCAGAATCTGATGAAGTGCCACAGATGTGAAAAGTGAATTCATTAGCAGCTAATAACTAATATCTGCCTGTCTGGATCAAAATACTGACTCCATGTAGCTTCATTCAGTCATTGTCTCAATAGAGTTTGTGTTATTAAAGAAAATGAGGGACTGTTTATTCTTTGCCATTTTCATTTAAAGGGGCGTTGTCTAACTTTTCCAGTGGAGGGTCCGTCAAATACTTTTTTTTTTTTTTTTTTTTCCGGGGGTGTGTTCTATGCTTTATTGTGTCATTTGCAAATAAATCATTTCCATACAAACATTCCATTGTGTTAGTTATAACACAATATTATAATTTTTTTCCTCCCTCCAATATAAAGTAGAAGTATACATATGTATACCCATTTTCATGTATTACATAAACACATACATGCACATACATATTCATATAAACATATATAGATACATATGCACACCACATGCGCCATTATATAGGCAGAAGTAGTCTTACACACACACACACACACACACATATATATATATATATATATATATATATATATATATATATATATATATATATATATATATATATATACATATAGAAGAAAAATAAACTTAACAGCTATTAGAAATAATAATAATAATTATTATTATAATAATTATAATAATAATTATTGTTGTTGTTGTTGTTATTATTATTAATGTTTTTATTATTATATTATTATCACTATAACTATCATCACCATTAATAATTATAATAATTGATTTATTAATTAATAAAACAATTAAAAATACTATTTATGACAGAAAAAAATGAACTCCCTATTTACAATAAACTCACTTTTTTTCTTTTCTTTTTTTTTTTTATGTTACTGCTTTGTCTGAAATGTTGCACAGTATAACATTATTAAACCTTTCTATCTACATGGAGACCAAACCAGACTAAGTTACAGGTCAGATCTGGGGACCCGCTCACACTCAGAATGTCTGTTTTTCTAGGTGTTTTTGAGTTAGAAAACCACTTGTAATTTAATAAATATAAAGTAGAGCTGCTTAATGTCACACTGTGGAACATTCTAAGCAGAGTAATGACATATCCATAGAAACAAGCAGGTGACAGACCCCCAACCAACATGTTACATAGTGCAGCTTTAATAATTCCACTGTCTTAGTTATAAAAATGTCTTTCTGTGTGTGTTTTAATATATTATAGTCCAGATAACGAAATTGTGCTATATTCTGATTTATGTTATAACGTTGTTTCCTCGTCACAAACAGACCTGGAGTTGTGTTTTGTTTCATTCACACATATCCCGATCCCCTCGTAGTATTTGCGTGTGCAGTATATCCGTATATCTTTGTCCCCGTGTGCCCCTCTCACCTCCTCGGGCTCGATCAGTTTGAACTCCATGCCGCGGCCGGTCCAGGCGATGAAGTGCGAGTTGGAGGGGTCGTCCAGCAGGGCCACCAGGAACTGCCAGAGCTGCAGAGAGCCACGCCGCTGGTACGAAGGGCCCTCGCGGTACAGGCCCGACTCCTGCTTCACATCACCTACACACACACACACACATATACTGTAAGGACCAATTTAAAGGGGACATATGAGAGCTGTGGTGCTGGTACCAAGGGCCCTCACAGTACAGGCCTGACTTTGACCCTCAATGGGAATGTGAAGGTGCCCCCAAGAAAAAACATCCTTTGGACAGTCTGCGTTCTCTGTTCAGGGCTTTGGGACTCCTTAAGCCCGGAGCTGAAACTTGACCTAGACTAGGCTGGTTTGAATATGAACTTAAGGACTTAAAGAGTAATCCGACATGTAATCAGTGATAAACCATCAGTGAGGACCTGCGATTGTCTTAGTATATTGTAAAATTTAATGTGAACCCTGTACACTCTTGTCCCCATCAAATAAAAAAGTGTTAGATAAGTTGCAGATAAGTCATACAATGGGATACCATATAAAAAGCAGTTGTTTGGGGTGTAATGGTACATATATTTGTGCGGAACCATTTCGGTTTGAGACATTCAGTTCGGTGCAGGGTTGTGCACAAATGAGTTTGTGCAATTTGTGTGTGTTTAGATTCTACCACTACATGTGCAGCTACACGGAGGCTCAGCTCTTCAATATTCACAGTGAAACTGTATTTCCCGCAGCGCTTTATAGTTAGGATTTGTCTACGTCCGTCCGAACCACATCTCACCCTCCCTGCCAGCAGATCTGCACTTACTGCAGACAATGTGGACAACGTTGTTTTTTTCTGGCCAAAAATTTTTAATTGAGTAAAAGTTTGTGCTGGAACTGTTAGTGCTGCACTTTACTGTTTGAAAAGTTTTGTTTACTCTTTACAAGGAATTTATTTTTTATAATATTTCATACATTTGTTGCTTATTTGCTAATATTTTATTTAACTTAGTATTACCAAGCAGCACTTTGCATTTATTTTATTGTATAATGTTAAAACAAATTGTTGGTTTAATAAAAACACAAATAAACAACAAGCAAATGGTTTTGCATTTTGTTCCCATACTGTACTGAAAATGAACTGAAGTATGACCTCAAAACTGAGATGCTTACTGAACTGTAATTTGTGTGTACTGTTACACACCTCGTTAATAATAATCACAGACTGAATACCCATAATGTTCAAATGAAGCTCACCAAGGCTAGCAGTTATGGAACAAACCTGGACCCAATTTACAGACAAACAGCAAAATAAAAACATCAGGATCATGTACAGCGGTAGCCAGGCTGGCACTACCTAGTGCCTCCTAGTGTCTCTCCAGCGACTATTTCAGGAATCAGAATACACTAGACAGTTTGCAAAAACCCTGGAAGTGTGAACGGGCACCAGTCAGTCAGCGAAGAGCCATACATTCTGTGTTGTCAACGATTCCCGAGATCGAGGATTTAAAGTCAGAACAAAGAGAATGTTTGGTGAATTTTATCAAGAGGAAAGACGTTATTGCCCTTCTTCCTATGGGATTTGGGAAAAGCTTAATATAATGCAGCTTAATAACCTGTTAACCCTGTTAACGGTGCATTACATATGCCACAACCAACTAGCAGCGATTGGTTAAATGAAAAAAAGTACCCGCCTACTGTTGAGCAAATGAATTCTAATGCTGCGAGGTCAGACGGTTTCTACGAAGTGAAACTGGCTGATGAATCAGGCTAGTAGAGCGAGTCAATACAAACAAAATATGACCAAAATAAGTTTGACAGCAGAAGTTACAGAGAGCGGGGCAAAGTGCATTGGAGCTAGAGTCGATGAAACACAGTGGTGAGCAGGTTAGATATGTCCATTTATGATTACAGCCTATGATATGAAAGCACGTACCTTCCACCTTCTCCGGCACCACACATGTGTCGTCATAGAAATGTCTCGCTACTTTGTCGAACATGCACCCTGAAACAGAAGAGCAGAATGACATCAAAATAAGTTAATTTATGTGGTCAGTTTGATGCAATTTTATCCTGAATTTGTAACATATTAGAACTGATTTAGATGTGTTTAGTCCTTTTTTCCAGTTTAGACTTGACCTGATTTGTGAAAAACCTGCATTTGTCCTGGTTCAAACCTGATTTGGTTAAAGTGCGTATGAGAGGTTTTGAGTATTCTCTTATTTCTACTTCATTTGGTGAGATAATAACTGTTGTAAAGATAAATGATACTTTTACACCAATCAAGACTGAATTTGTGAAGAAAAATTGAAAAATATGTTGAAAATTATACACTGACATCACACTGGGAGAATTCTATCCAAAAGTCAGGTGTGTTCTTTTAAATAATAATCTCTATGTATAACGTAAAAATTTGACATTATTTCGCAGGACAATAATTTTGGCAGTTCTTGTATTTTCACAGAATGTATAGAAACAGATCAAGATTTTATATATTTAATGTTTTATTTTTGTTCTGTTTTCAGGTTGAGTCATTCACTCCCAAAGAGAAGTCATTTTGTGTCTTGGAATATGCTTCCTCTTAACATTTTTGGTACCAAGTCTGAGTTTGTTTGCCAGTTGGTGAAGTTTTTCCAAATTTTGCATTGAAGTCACGTTGCACAGTCTTGGGTGACTGTGTGTGATTCCAAAACGCAAAATGACTTCTCTTTGGGATTGAAAGGCACGACTCAACCTGAAAACAACAAAAATGAAACATTAAATATAAAATCTTGATCTGTTTCTATACATTCTGTGAAAACTGGAGGTTATTTTAACAAGAATTGCTATTATTACTGGCCCTGTGTACAGTTTGGTTGATAGGTAACAGTTATGGAATTCCCTTTTTGTGTCAGAGGCATAAAGTCGTCAATATTATTGTTACTGTCATAATTCTTTGTAGCGATACAGTATCGTGCTTCAGAATTTGTTATTCACTCCCCACGCTAAGTCATTCCCCCTTCAGAGCACATCACATTACCATATCAGAGTGCATCTCTCTAATGAGACTACTGACGTGACAGTAAAGTCCATTTGAATAATACTCCCTCTTTTTCTGCTGGAGGGTCCGCCACCTTCTAGTACGGATGGAGACGACCAAGGGTGGAAAGTAACAAATTACATTAATAACTGAGTAGTTTTTATGAGTAATTTGTAATGTTTTAAAGTAGATTTTTAAATAGGGATTTTTACTTTTACTTGAGTACACTTTGACCCAAGTATTTTACTTCATTACACTGGAACCCACCCTTGTTACTGAGTAAAATCAGACTGACAGAAAAAAATATGAAAAAAAAAAAAATAAAAAATCTGTCGAAAATGAAAGGAAAATTGCACAGGCTTGGGTTAGACTTGGTTTAGTAATACAAAAGTGGTTTAGTCCTGGTTTAGTCCTGGACTCATCCTTTTTTATATCAAATAATTGAAAGTAACTATGTCACTTTTACTCAGTTTACAGTTTAAGTGAAGTACTTTTTTACTTTTTCTCAAGTAGATTTTTAGATGGTCACTTTTACTTCAGTAGGAATCAAGCAAAGTAAAGATACTTTTACTTGATTACAAATTTTCAGTACTTTTTCCACCTCTGGAGACTTCATTGCTGTGCCTGGAATGTTCCACCGTATAGCATTAAACTTCTCCATGGTATGGAAGCCAGGAGGGCTCATAAGAAAAGCAAACGCCGCAACAAAAACAAACGTGACAACACAACAAAAAGCCACAACACAAATGCAAATGCTACAACACACCAAAAAAAAACAACAACAGAAGTGACCACGGCACTCTATTTTAATGAAAACAAACACAAACAACAACAAATACAAACACACTACAAATGCCACAACACAAATACAAATGCCACAACACAACAAAAGCCACAAACACAACACACAAATGCAAATGCTACAACACACCAAAAAACAACAACAACGGAAGTGACCACGGCACTCTATTTTAATGAAAACAAACACAAACAACAACAAATACAAACACTACAACACAAATACAAATGCCACAACACAAATACAAATGACACAACACAACAAAAAGCCACAACGGAGGAGACCGCGGGACTCTATTCTAATGCAAACACTGTAACAAATATAAATGGCACAACACAAATACAAACGCGACAATACAACAAAAAGCCACAACAAACCAAAAAGCAACAATGGAAGTGACCGCGGGACTGTATTTTCCGATGGACCAAGTGAAGCGTTAAAGGATCAAGCGGGAAGTGAATGGGAAAAGTTGAAGAAGAACAAGAATATGAAAAGTAAAGGAATGAATGAAGTGAATGAAGTTGGAAACGTAAGTAAAAGTAAATTATTGTTTTGTGGCCAGGATCGATGTCACTGTCTGACCGTCGCTTGGTCCGTCAGAAAAATAGAGTCCCACGGTCACTTCCGTTTTATCTTATTGGTTTGTTGTGGCTTTTTGTTGTGTTGTGGTGTTTGCATTTGTGTTGTGGTGTTTGTATTTGTGTTGTGACGTTTGTATTTGTGTTGTGACATTTGTATTTGTGTTGTGACATTTGTATTTGTGTTGTGGTGTTTGTATTTGTGTTGTGGTGTTTGTATTTGTGTTGTGGTGTTTGTATTGTGTTGTGGTGTTTGTATTTGTGTTGTGGTGTTTGTATTTGTGTTGCGGTGTTTGCATTAAAATAGAGTCCTGCGGTCACTTCCGTTGTGGCTTTTTTTGGTGTGTTGTGGCTTTTTTTTTTTAATTTGTTGTAGCTTGTTGTTGTATTGTGGCATTTGCATTTGTGTTGTGGCAATTGTATTTGTGTTGTGACATTTGCATTTGTGTTGTGGTGTTTGTATTTGTTGTGGTGTTTGCATTAAAATAGAGTCACGCGGTCACTTTTGTTGTGGCTTTTTTTGGTGTGCTGTGACTTTTTTTCGGTTTGTTGCGGCTCGCTGAGTTGTGGCGTTTGCATTTGTGTTGTCGCGTTTGTATTTGTTGCGGCATTTGCGGTTGTTATGAGCCCTCCCGGCTTCCGTACCAATGTAAAATGGAGTGGAAAAAAGACTCTGCTCCACTTATTTTAGGTGTAAATTAGTTCATCTAATTAAAAAAAAAAAAAAAAAAGAGATTAAATGTAGATACGTTTAATGCCATACTGTGTAACATTCCAGGCAAAGTAAGTACATCTACAGATAGACAAGAAAATTACGGATCCTTCTCTAGAAAAATTCCATAACCATGAACGTTTCAGTTAAATCTAGAACAATTAAAAACATTTAAACGTACCTTCTGTCCTGTTAGCGTGAGCCAGGTAGCCATCTTGCCGTAGGTAGACCGAGTGACAGCTAGGCACTTCTGCTGAGACAAACGGAGAGAAAAGAAGGAGAGAGAAAAAGAAGAAAAGGGTGTGAGAAGCCCGGAGGCAGAGTTAAAATCACTGTATCTCTTTAGTTCTCCGTCTGCGTGGCTCAATGCTCCGCTGGCTCTGATTAAAGAACAGCCCCCCAGCTCCTGCTCCGAGGCCTCAGTCTGGAAAATATCTCAATGCAATTTTTAGAACAAGTAGTGCAATCACGATACTGGAGCTTCAAGTATCTGCCCATATCTGTTATCAACCAACACCAGAGCAGAGACTGAAAACGGCATTTATATTTAACATATGACAAAACTGATCCTTATGTGGTTTATGTAGCTGGTATTTTATTCTCAAAAGTAACGGCAGAACATTTTATGAGACTCTAAGTAAATATTCTTATTACCCAAATGAAAGACCCAACCAGGATAATCAATATGTAGAAACCGATCAGCACCAAGATCCGATACAAATCCATAAAAATATATTTCTTCATAATCCGTGTATCATTTGTTCATTTGTTTTTCAATGTAAAACCAAAAATAAGAAAAAAATTAAATAAAATCTTCATTATTTGTCTCCGAAACCAAAATGAAAAAAATGGATAACGATTAGTTTTTTCAGTTTTCGATTTTGTGTTTAAATGAATCATGGAAAAAATGGATAACGGCCGTTTTCCATTTACGTGACTTAAACTGCGATGCTGGACTTTTGCCCCGCATACGGACTGAACCGGGACTAAATCAGGACTAGACCGTTTTCAGTCCAGGTCTGGTCCCAGTCTCAGTCCTGGTTTCAGTCCTGGTCTGGTCCCGGTCTGGTCCCTGTTTCAGCAACAGTCTCAGTCCTGGCCTCAGTCACGGTCTGATCCTGGTCTGGTCCCGGTCTCAGTCCTGGTCTCAGTCCCGGTCTCAGTCCCGGTCTCAGTCCTGGTCTCAGTCCCGGTCTCAGTCCTGGTCTCAGTTCCGGTCTCAATCACGGTCTGGTCCTGGTCTCAGTCCCGGTCTCAGTCCTGGTCTCAGTCCCGGTCTCAGTCCCGGTCTCAGTCCTGGTCTCAGTTCTGGTCGCAATCACGGTCTGGTCCTGGACTGGTCCCGGTCTCAGTCCTGGTCTCAGTCCTGGTCTCAGTCCCGGTCTCAGTCCCGGTCTCAGTCCCGGTCTCAGTCCTGGTCTCAATCACAGTCTGGTCCTGATCTCAGTCCCGATCTGGTTCCGGTCTCAGTCCTGGTCTCAGTTCTGGTCGCAATCACGGTCTGGTCCTGGACTGGTCCGGTCTCAGTCCCGGTCTCAGTCCCGGTCTCAGTCCCGGTCTCAGTCCCGGTCTCAATCACAGTCTGGTCCTGATCTCAGTCCCGGTCTGGTTCCGGTCTGGTCCCGGATCTGGTTTAGTTTAGTTTTATATCTGGTTCAGTCCATATGCGGCGCAAAAGCGGCATCGCAGTTTAAGTCATTATCCGTTTTTTCCTTTATTCATTAAAACACAAAATCGAAAAGTGCATAAACGAATCATTATCCACTTTTTCATTTTGGATTTGGAGACAAATAAAAATAAAGAAATCTGCTGGGTTTTTTTTTTTTCATTTTCTTATTATTGGTTTTATATTGAATGAATGATTGAATGATACACAGATTCTTGTTGTGTGCACTGAAATGAATCATGGGATATGTAGTTCCCGATGTTTATTAGCAAAAAAAGCATTTAAGCAAAGGATTTTGTAATTAACATTACAAGTAACATCCCTATGTGCTCGTGGACCTCTGTTTTGTATGTTTTTACTGTCCCCTGTGTTTGGCCGACCCTCAGTGTAACTTCACTTGGTGTTGATTAATAAAGGGATTAAAAAAATAGAGAGAGAGAAAGAACTGAAACAAATGTTCTGATTGGTTTGTGTGTGTAAAATTATCAATAAATGAATAATATATTAGCATCATATAGAGAAATGTATTAGTTCCAGTGCATCTTGTCATTCTTGAGGTGCTGTACCTGATTTTTTGTGTCTTAAAAATGTAAAAAGAAAAAAAAAAAGAAAAAACAGAAGTCCATTTTAAAAGGTTTGCAATGGTCCAAAGTCCAAGGTCCTTACTTACCTTATGCATTCTCAGCATCCTTATTCAGCGCAATGATTTTATAAGCACTTTTGTCAGTTTTCGGAAGCAAAAGCAGAGTTTTGTCGTCTTGCCATGCTAACAGTGCACTTCCTCATTCAAATTAATGCTTTGTAATTCTACTGTGGTTTCATTTGAATCAAAGAGCTGCTTCTACAACACACTGTATCTGTACTGGAGCAAGAGAAATGTGAGTTTTTAGTGTATGTAGATAAAAAAAAAAAAATCCAGCACAGCCCCTAATTGAAGCAGTTATCTGGAGGCTGTGATCAAACATGAGCAGCTCCAAAGTGATGGCCAATGAACAGACGTGACTCGTAAACATTTCTCTGAACTTCATCAAAGTAATGGGACTGAAGAGGAAATAGCTCTGATGAAATTACAGCTCCTCCTCCTCCTCCTCCCTGCACCAGGAGAGCTGTCATTAATCTCATATGTACACAGAGCAGGAGAGCGGCTGGGAAAATACTGTGTTGAGCGTCGTCTTGAAAATAAAATACTAATCGATATTAAAACCAGGACTGAAATAAAAACTGTTTGAGCAGGTATCGGTACCAAAAAAGTCACATTCAGAGCACAGAAATGAGTCTTTAGAGTGTTGTTTTTTCATTATTATTGTGGTATCAGAATCAGTACTGAGAAGCAAGTCCTTCCTTAATGAAATCGAGTTTGAAATTTTAGTATCATAACAAAATTACTTGCATTATAAAAATGTGTGGTAAAGTAACATGGTTAGAAAAAGGTCCATCAAGTTCCATTTGGTTTTCCGATCATTTATGTTATTAGGTTCTTTTTTTTCAGACCAAGGGCTTGTTGTCTTCCTGCCTCTACTGGTAGGAAGACAGCTCCAAAACTTGTATAAATCAGCAACATCACGTGAGGAAGAGCATTAGTGAGCAGTCCAAACCCTCAGGTATGAAAACAAACTCTTTGTTTGAAAAAAGAACCTAATGACATCAGCAGCAAGGACTTATAGATAGATACATGAGAAGTTAGGACTTATAGATAGATACAGTAGATGTTATGACTTATAGATAGAAATTAAGATTTATAGATAGACAGAAGTTGGGACTTATACATACATAGAAGTTAAAACTTATACATAGGTAGAAGTTAGGACTTATAGATAAAAGTTAGGACTTATAGATGGATAGAAGTTAGGACTTCTAGGTAGGTTTAGTAGACGTTAGGACAGAAGTTAACACTTATAGATAGACAGAAGTTATAGCCTAAATTTAAATCCTGATGTGAGGACTTGGTCAGGTCCTGTTTACTCCAGGATCTGGTCCAGGTTTAGTTTTCAGGTAATTTGGCTCAGGACGGGGCGTGGAGATTTTACGATGTATCTACTTTGATTCGATCTTGTTTTGAAAAGACAGTCAGGAGATGAGAAGAAGGTACTGTCTATTTCCTATAATATTTTCCAATAATTTAAAATCAGTGTAATCTGACATTTCTTTGCAAAAGAATAGTTTTATGTGCAAACTGTCATTAGGTTTGGCCCTTGAACAACTAAAGCACATTCATTTTCCTGATTTAATGTGATTTTCAACATTAACTCTTAGAACTTTCTTTTCTATTCCCATGTGGTCTTATATCTGTGTAATCCAGGGATCTCGAACTTGTAGCTCTCCACCCCCTTCCAAGTAGCTTGCCAGAGGACTTCTGAAATATGTAAATAAAATCTGATTATTATTGTAATCGTGCCATTGTGATGCCTGACTTGTACACTAATAAATGGATAATGGTTTATATTTAATAGGCATCTAACTATACCCCGTCTAAAGCTTGCCATTGCTCTTCTACTTTCTAAATTTCTTGCAAAAATTAAAAATGGACCTCAGTGGTCCAGGTTGGTTCCATAGTGGTCCATGGGTGTATACTAGTCTGTGTGCTCTTGTTCTTATACAAGGCTCAAGATCATTCTAAAACTATTCAGGAAGGGTTCATTTCTGTCTTGTGAATGCAACTTTTTTCGTACTGATACCTGCTGAAATTAATATCTAGTTTCAATACTAGTTTTAGCATCGATTAGTCTGATTTTCATCTTCATATGCCTAATTGTTTGGTTATTTTTAGGTACACGCCCACTGCACTGTACTTACTTAGTTCTTCGATTACATTTTCTTAATGGGTGATAAATGTAGGATTCAGAAGCGTCGTTTATTAATTTAGGTACAAAAAACATAATCTGCAGCTATCCATCGAAGGGGCCAACAACTTTACATCACTTTGTTGTTGAGTTGTTGTTTACTGTTTTATTAGGATTTCCATTTGCTGCTCAACAGACACCACAGTTTTATAACGGGGAAGTCAGCGTACATGTTTCTTTATTAAGTAGTTTTAGATGAATATTGCAATTTTAAAATGTCCAAATTATAACGCAATGATCCACAGGTGTCATAGATTATAACTATATACAGAAGCAGAAACACAATATTGTATTTAGTTTTATTTAACCCCTCAAAAAGATATTATACTGTCTTTAAATCCAGGCCGAGTGGAGTTAAATAAAGCTTTACGGTTTTATTTATGGAATGTGCTATATGCTGTAAATAAAGTGGTTTGGATTGGCCTTGTTGTGAATGAACTCCGGTCTAGACAACTTTCATTCATATCCTCCAGCTGCCCGGGGCCCGTCTCCGTCCTCCGTTGCCCAGAGGCAGAGCACCGCCACGGGGAGGGAGAGCGCAGGCGAGGGGGGTGGTGGCGGTGGCGGCGGCGGTGGGCGTGGGACCAGATCTGTTCTATTAGCCGCTACAGGAAATGAGCCGTGGACATTAGCAGAGGCCTGTCTAATAATGGGCTAACTCAATAAGACCGCCCCCTCCTGGGTGATGGAGGGACACGCGGGGCCAATGGGATTATAGCGACGCACTGCATTCGTCTTACACGGACCTTTTCATCACTCGGATAACCTCATATTACTCTGTTTAGAAAAGGATTAGATTAAATTATTATTTTATTTTATGTATTTTTGTCATTATTTTAGTTTTTTACGCACAGTTTTCCCCCTACGTGTAAATTGACCTTAATATTCTTACACATATGAGTAATCTGCTTTGTAATTGATTGATTATAATGTACAAATTGTGATATTTGATTTTTTTATGTTAGTAAAAAAGAGTAAAAAGAAAGGGATTAGACAGGCATATGGCAGATTGTATTCACTGTAACATAATGGGCTGCAGAATGAATTGAAATCGAAATTGCAATTTGAGCTGGTACAATTATCAAATCAATAAAACTGCAATGGTTTACTTTACTTTTGAGATCAAGACCAGTCCGAGACCACAGGGTCCTGAGACCGAGACAAGACCAAGACCACAGCTCATCAAGACCAAGTCAAAACCATCTTTGTCATTTCCTACATTTATTTGTATTTTACATTTATTTTTGCATAAATATATGTCAATGTTTTTATAAATATATCTCCATTTTATCTGGTTAATGTTCATTTAGGTTTAAAATAAGCCAAGAAAACTGTACTCTACTGAAACACTCTGTGCCCGGACACTGACCCCTGAATCCCACTTTACAGAAAACAACTTCAACGTTAATCAAGTGTTTTTTTTTGTTTTTTTTTCATGTTCATAACATTTACTCCATAATATCACTGCAAAACCATTATCATTCAGGTTTTGCAGTAATGTTGAGCAGCCTCTGCACATTTACCAGCTGGAATGAAATAAGATCACACTCATCAAGTGTTAAACCTCGACTCTGAGACAAGACCGAGTCCAAATGCGCTCGAGTTCGAGACGAAACCAAGGCCATAAAAAAGCGTGATCGAGACCGGTCTCAAGACTAAGACCAGTCTCGAGCACTACAACACTTGCTAATAGAATAATAGAAGAAAATATCCTGTCTTTTGTAGAGCTTTATCATCTAGTTTAGAGCTCTACAAACCTTTTCTGAAACGCATGGGATTCACAGTTAAAGGGCCCAGATTACATTCTCATCTATTGTATTTTTCGGACTATAAGGCGCACGTAAAATCTTCAAATTTTCTCAAAAATCCACACTGTACCTTATAATCCGGTGCGCCTCATTATACGATTACACGTCTGCAGGTCTATCAGTCTGCAGGTATGAACAGACATATATCCTTGCCTCCTAGCGTCGTGGCGTTGAATTACTTTACGGCACACAGACCTCGACGCAGATCCGTAAATTAAAAACGGCGGAGACGAGGCGACGGCGGCAGTGTGTGTTGAATCAGCGCAGAACTATACTTTGCCCTTTAGTCACATGGGAACCAGCGTCTCCCCGTGTTTGCTGTTTGTGAAGACTTGGATTTGGGTTTTGTTTCATTCACACGTTTAACACAAAATCTGCATATTTAGGCTGAGCTCTTCTCCTAAACTGGAAACACTGTTCCACCTGTGATGCTAATAACCTGAAAACTACCCCAACATGACATCACAAAATGGAATAGAGCATTTTGAGCTAATAATAAAAAAGGACTATTCATGTGCAAATGAAACAAAACACAACTGCAGGTATGTTTAATGAGGTAAAAGCGTTATAACATGACTTAAAACTCACAAGAGTCCATTTTGTGTAATGCAAGTTTACTCTATATTCGAATTTTGTTCCGAACCAGTTGCAGTATCAAACTTTCTTTCAATATCTCACCTCGAAATGGAACCCGCAACTCAAAACACAGTGGAGCACTTCCTGTATTCCACATGACGTCACAAGGTTGAACAAAGCATTTTCGGTTTGAGAGAAAAAGTCAGTCTAAATAAGCAGGGTTTGTGTGTTTTTAAACGTGTGAGAATGAAATTTTGCCTATTTGTGACGAGGAAACATTAAAACATAGATCAGAAAATTGTGTAACATGGGCCCTTTAATGAAAATAAGTTAATAAATAAATAAAAAAATTGCTCACCTGAGTCGTAGGTGAAGTCCCGGGGCTCCTGCTTGATCATCATGGAGGGGGGGTACGCGTGCGGCAGAGGGGCCCCCATCATGGCCGGGTGCTCGAACAGAGGGTCCTGGTACTCCTGTTTGAAGCCCTGCGGGGGGAAGGGGATGCTGGGCTCCGACAGCTGCCGGTGGTACATGGGTCTGCTGTCCCGGGTCAGGGCGGGGGGAGAGGGGAACGAGTGGCACGGCTCCGAAAGCTGCCGACGGAACCTGAACACACACACATTTAGAATTTCAAAATCAACTCTTGTGTTGTTATCTCATCAAACACAGACCTGGAGTTGTGTTTTCTTTCATTCACATGTTTGAGTGATCCTGCTTTGTTACACTGTCTACATCTCCACCTTGTGATGTCATGAAGCGGTAGTTTTCAAATTAAGAGCGTCTTTTTACCTTTAGTTCAGTAGAGATTGGCAATTCCAGAGCTGAAATTATCCAAATGATTCTAGTGAAGGTGAGTGCGTATTTATGCCGAGTTCTTCTCTCAAACAAAAGACACTCTGTTCCAGCTTGTGTTGTGATGTCGTGTGGTAATACAGGAATTGCTCCACTGTTACTCAAACATGTGTGAACAAAACAAAACACAACTCCAGTTATGTAACAACATTGTAACATAACTTAAAGCTCACAAGAGTCAATTTTGTGTAATATAAGACCTTTAAGTTAGTATTGTTACACTGTCAAGGCAAAAAGAGAAATCCAATTTGTTAACTGGAGAAAACTAAAGCAAAGTAAAAAGCAAAAAGAAGCAGCTTGGATGAGTTGTGAAACGAATTCAACCAAATAAACTTTTGACCAGTTGACAAATCGATTTTCTCCTTTTACCATAAACGCCTGAAAATATAGAAGAATGTTGCTACTTCTTAATGAGATGTTGTCGTACACTACCAGTCAAAAGTTCTGGACACACCCTCTCATTCACTCATTCACCCTCTTATTTTTTTTCTTGCTACTTTCTACATTTTATACACACAGAAGACACAAGATATATGAAGTCAAATACATGGAATTACAAAGTAAAGAAAAAATTAAAAGGTGCATTGTGTAACTTTTCTAGTGGAGGGTCGGTCAAATGCTTTTTCGGAGTGTTTCACAGTATGGCATTAAACTTTTTCTATCTTCATGGAGACCAAACCAGACCAAGTTACAGGTCTGATCTGTGGAGAGGAGACCCCGCTCACAGTCAGAATGCCTGTTTTTCTAGCCATTTTTGAGCTATAAATCAGCCTGTAATTTAAGGTAGAGATGTTTAATGTCATACTGTGGAACATTCCAGGTAGAGCAACCTCATATCCATAGAAACAAGCAGCTGACAGACCCCCAACCAAAAAGTTACATAGTGCAACTTTAAATAACTGAATATTATTAAATATTTTTGGACAAAGCATAATATTTTGAGGATTTAAATATGAAATAAAAAAAAATATACTTTTTTTTTTCTTTGCTACATACTTCAGTACATGTTACTTCATATATTTAATGTCTTCTGTGTGTATCTAAAATGTCAAAAGTCATAAACATTTAGAAAAAATAGAAAAAAAATAATAGTGAGAGTGTGCCCAGACTTTGGACGGGTAGTGTTGTGTGTTATTGTGGAGAGACTGGAGTACCTGTTGTCCATGGCGTAGGCGCTGTCGGGCAGAGGCTGTGAGGCTGGTACGTGGGTGCTGTAGCTCCTCTCCGGAGGGTTGGGGGAGCCATGGTGGAGGGGGGACACGGGGGTGCTGCAGGGGGGGGTCACTGGGCTGGAGGCCTTCATACCTGTGGGCTGCTTCTGCTCGTAGGCACTGGAGGAAAAGATACACACACATGTTACGACGGTAATATGATGGTAGAGGGAACTAACCAACACGGGTTTACTTTTACTCAATTAAGAGTAACTTTACTTCATAATAATAATACTCAAATAGTGGTTCAAGAAGTTACTTGAGTAAGAGTAAAAAAGTATTTGGGAAAACTACTGTCCAAGTAAGAGCTTCATGAAGAAAAACTGTCGGGACGTAACATCTGATTTATAATTGAAAGTTAATATAATTTAAAGGACAGAATATTAAATAATGCACAAATTTTATATTTTCAAAGAATAGACGCAAAAATGAGAAAACTACATTTACAATTTAAAATGTGCAAATTGTAAAATAAGGATCCACAGTGTCATCGATTAGATCTGTGTATCAGAGACTGACTTTTGTGAATATTTATGTTTCAGTGTTCATCGTTGCTCCAGTCCCGGAGTAAACCACAAAAGTCTCTTCCTCACACCTGCCTCTCAGCTGCCACATGAGGAGGAGGATACGGCCCCAGACACAGAGGGGCCCCCGGGGGCTGACCACAGGGGCCCACGCAGCTCTGTGGCTCTGCTGTGACTCACAGGCCGTGACTGGAACATCTCAAAGCTGCACTGATGTCCACTGTGCTCTGTCATGCACTCAACAGAAAGGCTAAAGAGTACCTGCTGTAGGGACACTGGTGTATAAGAGTACCTGCTGTAGGGACACTAGTGTATAAGAGTACCTCTGTAGGGACACTAGTGTATAAGAGTACCCGCTGTCGGGACACTGGTGTATAAGAGTATCCACTGTAGGGACACTGGTGTATAAGAGTACCTGCTGTAGGGACACTGGTGTATAAGAGTACCTGCTGTAGGGACACTAGTGTATAAGAGTACCCGCTGTAGGGACCCAAGTGTATAAGAGTACCCACTGTCAGGACACTAGTGTATAAGAGTACACGCTGTCGGGACACTAGTGTATAAGAGTACACGCTGTAGGGACGCTAGTGTATAAGAGTACCCGCTGTAGGGACACTAGTGTATAAGAGTACACGCTGTAGATACACTAGTGTATAAGAGTACCCGCTGTAGATACACTAGTGTATAAGAGTACCCGCTGTAGATACACTAGTGTATAAGAGTACCCGCTGTAGGTACACTAGTGTATAAGAGTACCCGCTGTAGATACACTAGTGTTTAAGAGTACCCGCTGTAGGGACACTAGTGTATAAGAGTATCTGCTGTAGGTGTGAGAGAGTACCTGCTGTAGGGACACTTGTCTCCATACTGGAGCCTGAGCGGGCGCTCCTGGCTGCAGGCTGAGCTCAGCTCCAGACACGGGCTATGAAGCTCTCTCTTGATCTTCAGCTGGAGGCCGTGAAGAGCCACTGAAACACAGAGAGAGAAACACTGAAACACAGAGAGAAACACTGAAACACACAGAGAGAAAAACACTGAAACACACAGAGAGAAACACTGAAACACTGAAACACAGAGAGAAACACAGAGAGAGAAACACTGAAACACACAGAGAGAAACACTGAAACACACAGAGAGAAACACTGAAACACACAGAGAGAAACACTGAAACACACAGAGAGAAACACTGAAACACAGAGAGAAACACTGAAACACACAGAGAGAAACACTGAAACACACAGAGAGAAACACTGAAACACACAGAGAGAAACACTGAAACACACAGAGAGAAACACTGAAACAGACACAAAGAGAGAGACAGAAACAGAAAGACTGAAAAAGAGAGACACTGAAACAGAGAGAGACACTGAAACAGAGAGACAGTGAAACACAGAGAGAGAGACAAATACTGAAACAGAGACACTGAAATAGAGAGAGACACTGAAACAGAGCAACATTTGCATCAGAATTCATGAAAATATAACAGACAAGTCCACATTCACACAGGAACTTGATTCTCATGAGGAAGACATTTCAAGATTTTTTAGTTCAAGGATAATAAGAAAGAAGAACTAAAAAAAAAAGTCTGATTATGCCTGATGATTATCCTGAAAGTAAATATATTACAATTATTTCAATTTAGTGCTTTTTAAATTATCACTGTGTATTTGAATCAGTACTAAGTCTGTTTGATTTTTTTATATCATGACACTAGAAACTCACAGGGAATCACTGATGTTAAAACTGTTCTATTCTACAGCACTGACTTTTCAGTTGTTTACCTTTTATTTTCATTCTAAATAGTTTCCATCGCCACCAGCACACACCCACTGCTCTCTACTTATTTAATGCTCCCATTTTATTTTCTTAATTGGTGATACGTATGGTCATTTAGTAGTATAAATGAAAAAAAATATCTGCAGCTATCCACAGTAGATGCTGGCACTAGTGTTGTAGTACTCGAGTACATCGATATATATGTTCCAAAATAACTGTAAAATACATGTTGAAAATGACAAACATGGTCTCGATTTGGTCTCGATAGATTGTGGACTCGGTCTCGTCTCGGCCTCAGCCTTTAAAAGTCTCGATCTTGTCTCTTTCTCAACCCTCAGAGGTCTTGGTCTTGTCCTGGTCTCGGGTATCCTGATTCATCAGCCGGTTTAACTTTGTGGAAACCGTCGCAACATTAGGATTCGTTCACTTGACGGTAGGCGGGTACTTTTTTTATTTAACAACTCGCTGCTATCTACATTAAGTTTTTCCCAAATCCCATAGGAAGAAGGACAATAACGTCTTTCCACTTGATAAAATTCACCAAACATTCTCTTTGTTCCGGCTTTAAATCCTCGATCTCGTGAATCGTTGCCAACACAAAACGTACGGCTCTTCGCTGATTGACGGGTCCTCGAACTCGTACTTCCGGGTTTTTTGCGAACTATCTAGTGTATTCCGATTCCTGATCTAGTCGCTGGAGAGAAATTAAATTGAACGGAGGCACTTGGGACACTCGGGACCCTGTGGTTTCGGACAGATCTTGGTCTCGATTGGGGCGGTCTTGACTACAACTCTACCTGACACTGAACTAGTTTGTTTGATTAAGTCGTTTCAGATAAATGTTGTGATTTCAAATGTCCAAATGATAACGTGATGATCCGCGGGTGTCATAGATTAGAACTACAGAGCAGACACAAGCCCGTGAGGTCTTCTTTAGCGCTGATAGACTCCGAGACAGTCCATTCAGATCCGCGAGGTCCAGCTGCCTCGCTCCCGCCTCGCACCGGCCCATCTCTCACAGACGACTCACTTAAACCTCATTTGCACTGGCTTTTCCTGCGCTCTCTCACAGTGAAATATGACAATCACCGGAGCGCGGGGGGAGGGTGTGCGGTTCGATACTCTCCAGACGATGACAACAGCCCATTGATCTGAAGGGCCCCGCGCCGCTGCCTGTGGCCCCACACTGAGCGCCGAGGCAGGGGAGAGGCTGCTAAGTGCCTGATCAGTCCTGATTAACTCCCATCTTCTACAGCCGGGATCGACGCTAATTCAATCGTCCGAGCGGAGGAGCGGGAGGGGAGGAGGTGGAGCGAGGGTGGAGGGAAGAGCGGGGGGGGTTTAGGGTTGCTGGTTCCATGGTTCCACAATGGGGGGGCACATGCTTTCAGACAGGTGATGGATAGGTCTGTCCCGTGTACAAATATTCGGACCGCAGTATTCACGAGTTTGGAGTCTGGTTTCCACGGTTTGTTTACGTCGTGGATGGGAGGTGGACAATGGACGATACAAGAAAATAGGCGAAGAAAAATAAGGGGTTTTAAGGATATCACTATTAGCTCTGTACTCAGAATATAAATAAAATAATATATCATTATGGACTTCTTGGTAATACGGTGATACAAGATGCTGAATTGTTAGGTCCTATATTACGCAAAATTTACTCAAAATGTAGCTTTAAGCCACGTAGAATGCTGTTACCTTCTCAAAAACAGCATATTTTTCAGACTATAAGTCGCACTTTTTTCAGTTTGGGTGTTTCCTGTGACTTATACTCCGGTGCAACTTATATATTAAAATGTACACACTGACAGTCAGTATCTGCTGCTTCTATTACTCCTGTATCACTGTCACTTCACGCTCTACTGTGCATGTCTCCTGCAGAAAGAGCCTCTGTCCGGTCTGTATCATGTCAGTCGATCGCACCATTACTTTTGTACCACTGAAAATGTAAAATTTAAACAAACTTGTAAAGACAACTGAGAAGACTGAACACAAATGTCCCCAAAAATAAAATCATATTTTGCAGATTACAAACTGACAATAGCAAAATCTGCAGCTGAAAACCATAATCAAGCAGCAGAAAGAAAGTTGTGAGGGAGTGAGTTTGGAGGGTGCATCATGCAACTTTCCTGGAAGTCACTGGATGAATTGACAAAACCTGGACTTCAGTGACACTGAAACCCTCCTGTTGGGATTCAGAAAGGCCGGAATAATTCTAAATAGAACTGATGCTGAGTCTGACGACAGCTACACAGAAGACGAAGCAGCGCTCCATTTACCTCCGGAGGTTGCTGAGTTGCTCTGAAGTGACAGCGAGAATGAAGAATTGAATGGATTTAGTGATTTGGAGTGAGATGGAGAGTTTGGTAAACTTGTTCTGTTCTGTTGTTTATGTTATAGTTTATCTGAAGAACTGTTCATATGTGACGTTAACAGTCTGTTGTTCTCTCTTCTATTGTTATTACTAGAACTTGACTTTCAAGATGAAATGTCAGTTCCTGGTCTCTGATTTTATAAAATACATTTCCCCCAAAAGTGTGACCTGTAGTTCTGTGTAACTTATAGTTAGAAAAAAAAAAGTGTTTTGTTTCATTCACACATTTAGAACTCACCACTTCTTCCAGTTTTTTTTTTTTTTTTTTTTGCAAACGTAAAAATGTAAATGATAAATATTTGACACATATTATGAATAGACCTGGTAATAGGAAGTGAGCATGGATGCACTTCAGGCTCCATCAACCTCATTTTGGTCTTAAAATGTTCGTATTAAGACACTCTCCATGATCCTGGTGTTTTTTATTTCACTATTTTGTCTGTAAATTAATTTGTATTCCTAATATGGAACTTGACGTCACACTCACTTAGACCACATCTGTTTACAGTCTTCAGTACCATCCCACCAAACCAAGTCACATGAAAACTGGCCCTAGGCACTTTAAAGGTGCACTTTGTAGCTTTTCTCTCCATGGAGATGTTAATGCTTGGGTTTAAATTGTCCGAAGTATAGCATTGAACTAATCTGTCTTGTATTTATTCAATATCTTACCAAAAAAATTCATACTGTGAACGAGGTCGCCTTTTCACAAATCTAACCAGTAATTTAGCTTACAAGTCTCCTTGGAGATTCTTAAATTTATGGCTCTACTGTGGAACATTCTAGGCACATCATGGAGACAAGGCAACGGACCCTCCACCGGAGAAGCTGCACAGTGCACCTTTAAGTTTCTTTCTCGCGCGTGACTGTCATCTGCCAGGCGAGGAGGAGTCCACGGGCCCCCGACACAGAGGGGCTCCCCGGGGCCGACCGCAGGGGCCCGGGCTGCCTCTACTCTGGGAGCCTCGGGACCGCGCTGGGGGCCTGACCTTTGAGGGTCATCGATCAGGGGTCAAACAGGCACTTCCTGTGGGGTGACCTTTGGCGACTGTTGGTTGCCTGGGAAAGCCGTGTTAAAGACTTGTGTGGACAAAATAATACAGACACACAGTTCACGCAGATACTGTTTAGAGTTTGTTTAGTTCAAAATGTACTTCAGAATGTACTTCAAAATGTACTTCAAAAAGGCTGATAGATTAATCGCAATAAAGTTGGGGTTTTAATTTCAGTGAGTTCTGCTTTTACTCCCACTTAAGTAATTTTTTTTTTAATATATATAGAAGTAATAGTGGTAAAAGTAAAAAAAAAAAAAATTTTAAAAAAATTAAAAAGTTGTAGTTCCTCATTCCACTGTGACTAAATGTACAAGTGACAAAAACTTTATGTTGACAATATGAAATGATTTGAACATTTGTGTTTCTTGCAGCGATTCTTCAGATATAATTTAGTTTGTCTCATTTTTGTGTCTAAAAAAATAAAAACAGATTTTTTGTTGTATTTAATATTTTGTTGCTTTAACTACAAATCATAAATCAGAAGTTACTCTTACTTGAGTAGTACTTTACGCAATTGCTTTTTACTCTTAATTTACACTTCTGCATGAGTATTATAATATTGAAGTAACGTTACTCTTACTTGAGTATAATTTTTGGCTACTCTAAAAATTGCAGACTTATGTGTCATCTTTGTGAAGAAAAGTAGTACTCAAGTATCACATGAAAAATCGACTTAAAGCCACAGTTTGTAACTTTTAGTCAAAAAAATACATTAGAATCAAATTTTGTGCTTGTTTGTTTATTTGTTTTTTTGTTGCAC